CACTGGGGCCTTACAATAATATAGTCACATGAATAATTATTTTGTTTAAAATAGGTCACTTCCGATATTCACATAACTCATGTTTTTATTACAGTTATTAAATTGTGGTGCTTTTGATACACGCAAGGACCAATCAAATCTGTTAGCAACAAGTCCACCTATATTAACCATTTCAATAGAGGAACATGGAACATTGATTCCCACTGAAATGTCCATTTAGTATGGTTGTCGTTTGCCCCTAATGGTATTTTGAGGGTTCCAAATTTGGTAAATGTGTAGACTATTTTTCCAGCATAGGCACCTTAAATGGGAATAAAATCTATTGCCGAGATTTCTTTTTATAATGGGAATAAAAATGAAGACAGTTTTCTCTTAGTTTACACTTCTCCTTTCATGGTAAAAACTTGATATTCTCTATGGAGCAAAATGTTTATGTTTTCAAGTTCTTAAAGTATCAACTTGAGTTTTTGAAAAAACTTGCTTGCTGACACAGAAAAGAGGGGTGTTAAATGCATAATGCATATTTCAGACAATTAATTGACACCCTACTTTAATAAATCAATAATTCACACCCAACTGCGAGCCAATACAGCTTTCTTCCACTAATTTGATAATTATTAGAAATAATCGCACCAACTCCACAAGCTTTTGTTTCAAGAATCTGGATTCTATCTCGTAGAGCTTACTACAGAAAGTCATTTCACACTACAGAAAACATGTGACGGGTGAAAAGTGGACACCCAAGTACCTCAGAAAGAGATGCATATAACCAGCCTAAACAAGTTTAGGTTAAACTTATTGCATTTAGAAAACAAGCAAGGAATTCAATGCCTCAAACCTACCTACTTTAATAATACATTTATTTTTTTGCTACATACAAATTTAAGAAGAGATGGTATCTGGGTCTAAAGCAGAAAAAGCCCTCTAGATTTTTCTCATTCTAAGAACATAAGTAGTAGTTTGAACCAGTAATCTATCAAATGCAAGACTATATTTTATTCTACTCGATAAACTATTGGGATTTTAATAATACATTTATGCATCTGCCAATTTTTTGTTCCTTGTAACATTTATATCAAGCTTTCTTCAATCACTGAAACACACATTTTTTCCTTCTATAATATATACCATTTTGCTCACGATTCTACTTTGATCTTTAAACCATATACGCACTAACATCGAAAGCTATGCTTATGTGAAGTGTGTGTTTCCTTCAGCCACAACACCATCATATGTCCTTTTTCCTTTCGCACTGCATAATTAAATCTAAATAAATATTATAATCTAAAGAATCTAGAAGAAACGGCAAACCACCATCAATGTACCTTTATTATTATTATTCAATGTTTTTTTGTTAATAATCGTGCATCACTAACAATGCTTAAACAAATAATAACCATCGAAAGTTCTGATAGCACGTTGACAACCATAAAGTTCAATCTATAATCAGAAGAAGTCAAAATTAGCACATTGATCAAGTTTATTATAAATAAGCTAGCATACAATGCATCAAAATTTTCTCGAGGAAATCCTATGATAAAGTAGCTGCAGTGCATGAAATCAATAACTAACACCAGTAACCATGTAATACTTTGTTTTAATTCTTACAGAATTAATTATTAAAAGTTTAAATATATAGTAGAATTGGACTCATTAATTTGTATAGATTAAGTGTAAAACATTAATTTATAGAAATTTTTCTACCTATTATGCTTTTCCTATATTCTTGTATACTGCAATTATAGACACACGCATATAGAAGTAACAGAAAATATTATATATGGAAAACTAATAAAAATAAATTACATTTATCTTCAATTAAAAAGAATCAACATTAACTCTACATTAAAAAACGTAAGAAGTGGGAGTTTAAAGGAAAATGCTTCCAAATTATCAATTAATCACAATTTTTTTACATATTTTTAAAATCTTAAATAAGGTAAATATTCTATTTCCTTATAGTTTTTCTTTTACTCCTCGTCTTTATCAAAATAGATATTATAGTCACCTACCCCGTGTGTTACACGTGTTCATTTTTATTTCATTCATTATTTTAATTTTTTATTTGATAAATATATATTTAAATCAGCTTTTAGATTCAAAAATAATTATGACAAAATATTCTAAAAATTGTTTCCAGACACATTTTTAACTGTAAAATATTTGAATAGAATTGTATTTATACCATTATAAAGTGTCATAAATGGACTATCTGAAATTTAATAGATTTTATGAGTTGAATTGATTTCATATTTTTATCGTACATTTTGTATTCGTCTCAAGATATATAATTCAATAATTACATGTGAAATTCGTAAATAAAACAAAAAAAGAAGATGCAATGCAATTTAAGCACATTAAATTTATGATAGTATTTTTATTAGATGAGAAACTCACATTATTTTTATTGTCTTTTTATTTTAGAATCTTGATTAAATTTTAATTTATATTTTAGTAACAATTTAAAGTTTTAAATAGAAAATTTCATGAAGAATTCTCACGGTACAAATGATAAACTTCTAAATTATGTTGATGACCCAGTAAAACTTTCCAGTAATACAATATTGGGGATTTGGGGTTTCAAATCTTAATATTATTAGTAATAGAGTTTAAGTGGATGAGAATTCCTACCAACACTAATAAAACTTTTTATCACGTTTTTAACCATTGATTAAAATTTATTTAAAAATATAAAAATTATGTGAGTTTCATTCTTTCTTATTTTTAATATGATGATTTTCTTTCATAAATTTAGAGTTTTTAATAAATTTTAATAAATAATTAAAAATATATTTAAAAGTGTTTCGGTAGAACTGCTCCTAGTAGAATTACATCTACTTTTATTATGATTAATATAAAACATAGATAAATTACTATGATAATTTAGATTTGAAGAAATATATATTAGCTCCACATTTATTTAAATTTTATATTAATTCTTATAAATTGCTTTGATAAAATAACATTTGTTCTTTAAAAAAAAAAAAGGTAAATTCTTACAATAAAAAACAATCCTCAACTTTCATTTTATAAAGTTTGTCAATTTATAAGACTAAGCTTTTAAGATAAGCAACTGGCGGTTCCTTGATTTCCTAAAGAAATTCTAAAGCCACGATAATGGATTAAAAAAATTCTCCAAAGTCATTATTATAGACAAAAGTGTAATATTTTGGTATTGTTAGTATAATTCTCCAATTAAAATTAAAATTTTATTTTAATAATAATAAAGATTAATATTAAAAGTTAGTACATTAACATTAAAGATAAAAATTTAACTTTAATTAAAAAATAAAACTTATAGTATTGCATTGTCCTGTTAAAAACTAGAATGTCTACAAAGAATAAAATTTGGTTCACGGAACGCCAAAAGACGTATGAAACTAAACCTTCAAAGTTATCTACAAAAAATTCTAGAAAAACAAAGGCTTTATTTATTAGCTAATTAAACCCAAACTATTTAGCTTAATATCTAATGCTAGACCATAAGTTGTATCTTAGTCATCAAAATAGGGCTCATTAAGGCCCCTAAAGTGCTATTTTTAAGTTGGCTTCAAATAATATGACTCATTTTAAAATCCACTTTATTTTACAACTTCTTTCATTATTTTAACTCCTACCCTGGTCATTGATTGGTCTTTTACATTGCTTGCAATTTTCCAAAGGAACTTTAAATTTGCCAAATGTTCTGGGATTTATATCAGTAACTAATTTTGTGTACAAATATGCTTAAATTATATATAAAAAAAAGTGTATTATTTAATAATAATAATAATAATACTTTGCTAAAATGGTACGAAAGAGTATGATGATACAAATAAGTGATAAATCCAACTACTTTAATTTTACTGGTTAATTAACAAATAATAAAAAAAATGATTTGATAAAAATCATGCAGGATAATAGTATAATAGTTTTCGTCAAATTTCATCAGGTACTATTTTGCATTTCTCTAACAACGTCAACAAACATGTCAAAATCATATATTAAATTTAAGAGTGTAATTAAACAATTATTTATTAATTTTTGCTATACGTTATGTCCTCATTGGCACTATGGCATTACACAAGAAAAACCTTCCAGGAATTCAATTATCTGGATTCATTTGTGTATGTTATTTTCGAAAGTAATTTCTTAAATTATAAAACTTGGAAAAACCTATATAATAATGAATTATTTATCAAAAAATTTAAAAGCTCAAGAAACAATTTTAGTATATTATCAAATAAACTTAAATTTTAATTTTGAAAATTAAGTCTGATATTTTTTTTTAAAACCCGGCTAAATGCACTAAAAAATTTCATTTTATACTGTCGCAAACAAATAAATCATCTTATGCAACCATAAGGTCCAACTCCTTACCCTGGAACATATGGATAAATTGAAATAAAATCATTTAACTTTGTCAGTTGTCTCGAAAGGAAAGTTTAAATTTTCTCTCAAAATAATTTTTCTTTCTCATGAAACAACCACTTCTCGCTCTACTCATACCCCTCCCCCCTCCTGATTGACTAAAATGGTCACTACATTACACTTTAACCAAAACCTCTACGTCTTTAGTACTTTTTATAAGACCTTCAACTATATCACATATTAGGAAAAGTTGTTAAAAAAAATGAATGTATTAAATTTTTCAAAATAATTATAACATTTTAAATTTACCCTTAATTAAAGTCAAACTCTATTATGTTAAAAAAGTATGAAATACTAAAGAATAAGGATTTATTGACATGCACAAATTTTAAAAGACAACCCTGTTTAAGTGGCAACCCTGTCCATAATTTCCCACACTTGTCTCAAGATCACAACCATCTTTTATCAGACAGCAAATCTTGCCAACATGCTAATTAGTCATTATAATCCCAAAGTGAATATTTTCCTGCAACTTCGCAATCCCAGTTCCCTGATACCAAAGTGAATAGATCATGCAAATCACCCACCAATATAATTGGAGCAAAAGAAAAAAACCAAGGGGTAACAAATCACTTTAGAACAATATTCTCATTATAACAGACATTCAACTCATCCAAACAAACAGGTTCCTATAAAGATTACAGACTCCACAATTACTAATATTCAAGGTAGCTTCATAAGGTATTATAGTAAAAACAAATGTAACACAAAGAAAGACAAAACAGACTAGTCATTCAGGGACTTATAATCATAGACAACATCTTGAAGAGCATTGAACCATGAAAACCCGGCATTCAGTCATTTGTACCAAAGTTTCCTTTCCACGCCCTTCCTGTATCCAGCAACTTACCATAGCAGACAAAATGCAGTCATCATTCCCAATACCATCTAACTCCTGCTCTTGGATTTTTCCACGGCCCTCGGAGCTGCAAAGAAAAGAACTACCCTTGAGTACATTAATTGGTGTCAAAAGCCACATTACCAGAGGTACTTCCAATTGTAGTTTCCTTGTGTTACAAGTTTCAAACGAACTTAATCCAGCTCAATTGAATTAAAACTGTTTTTGTTTTCCTTTTGTGGATAAACTAGAGAGAGTTAGTACTATGTTTCAAAATAACAATAGGTAAAGATGGTGCAGCTACACCATAAATCCAGCATATATTGACTATTAGTAAGTTTAAAACACTACTTTAATGATTAATCAACGGAAAATCAAGCAGAAAAATTTTAGCAAGAAAAAATATCATTCTTCAAAGAATACCAGAAATTTTTGTTCTCAGCCTTTATCATCCCCTACACGTATACGAAGTAACCTCTGTGATACACAATCTATGACATATTGACTTAGTCTCATTTAAATGCATCAGGATCATAATCTACAGCTGGTTATGAGCCCTGTGTGGCTACTATCTCATTAAAAGGAGAAGCTCACAGTCCACAAATTCATGTGATAATTTTGCAATGACACGTGTAGCATCTGAAAAATAAATTATCGCCAAGTATACATACCTAAGCCAATTGCATCAGAACCCTTCATGATTTTCAGCCTTTTGCATGTCTCAATGAACATACTGCAAAAACAAAAAATTACAGTTGAGAATAGGATGTATTCCATCAGTCTTCCAGTTGACAATTTCTTGGTGCAGAACTACTAATAGGGGTAATTTGCAACACTTGATTCATAGGCAAAAATGTGAACATTAACAAATATCGACAAGAAGCATAACCAAGTTACACTAACAATTAAATTAAATTACAAAGTTCTAGCCATGACCAAGTTCTTAGTCTGCAACTACAAAACAAATCTATAACATACATCAGCACCAGATTGGAAAAAATATATATTTACAAGTATTTTCTCTACTCATGTTTTTCCAATCACAATATTTTTGGAAGATGGTACAGTAGAGCAGGTGTAAAATCATTCTTCTGTTGATTTATGATTATATTTTGATTGCCTTTATATGGAAAGTACATAAAACCTGCCCAACTTCAGGGATCACCAATACAATAACTGGGACTTTAGGTTGTACTTGAAATTTGAAAAACAATCAATACCAGTACCACTGCTATATGGGTTGAACAAGGATGTTTTAAGCAAAGTGTGCAAGGACACAATACTTATTTACTAGTTGGGTAACAATATTATAGTAATTATTATATATTCTTTTATAATTTAAACTACTGTACATACAGGGAATGCAGTTATCCTTTCGTGTCACCTTACAACTAGAAAGTAGTAAACAAGAAAACTAAAATAACTTTTCAAGGGGTGATTGCTTAATATTTGGCACTGTTGGCAACATACATGCCACCGTTTCAAGAATAACTATGACTTAACAAATTTGCTGAAGCAACTCGCTCTATCATTTTAGAAACAAATATAATTACTGTCAAAAGAATATTATGAGAAGTTGAGAGCACAAAGATTGATGAAGCACACAGAATGTTCAAAAACTTACTCCCACGGAACATCTCCTACAAGCATCCAGTCACCATCTTTATCTTCATAAGTAAGTACATATTCTGAACCATGCAGGAGGTCCTTCAGCTTGCTCTCGCTCAACATTTCTCTACCTGGAGCTCCATGGGAACCGCATTGACCTGATATGGTATAAGTGTCATATATCCATCCCAAAGATACAGTTTAGAATGGAAAAAAGGTAGTGACCATAAAATTCATCAAGAGAATCATTAGATGCAAATAATTTGTTAAAATAAATAGAAGCTGTAAGTCTGTAACAGATCACCTAGGGTAAAACAGCTGAACATCTTCTCAAGGGCAGAAGACAGATCCTGGTATGTTGTATAGTTTCTTAGATCAACCTTCCTAAGATAGGGAGCACCATCCATGCTGACCTTCACAAACAGTGCAGCTGGACCTGGTTTTCCATCTACTTCATCATTGTTCTTTGAATTGGTAGCCAATGAGTTTTTCCTAAATGATCTTATAGGAGGCCAACCAACAACTTGTGCCCTGTCATAATAGATAAGAACTAATTAGCATAACTAGAAATACATGGAAGAATCCTTATAAACCCTCCATCACATAATTTTTCTCAAATATTTATCACTTTAGAAAACCAAGAAAGCATTAATTATCTTTTTCCAGTAATACTCCCATTGGTATCTTACCCAAATATTGAAATGTGCCACAACATTCTAACACGTTTAATAAGGGCATTTAAATATAAGAAAGCCATTTTATCATAGTAACTATGTCATTAATAATTTTCTTAAAAATTTTACAAGACTAGGGTAAGTGCTGGGGGGTTGAAGGGGAAGAGATGAAAAGGTAAAAATTTTTTTAAAAAATTAAGAAAATTATGTAGAATGTATGATGATAAATATATTCAATTTATACTAGAGTATCATTTTATATCTTTTATTCTAAAAAATCATTAAATTAAAATTTTTATTTGAAAATCAAAATTTCACCCACCCATCCTCCTTCCCTGCAAAATTATCCTTCCCAAACAACTCCTAAAGGGATGGATAACATGAGATGAAGGGAGTATATCACCGATCTAGAAAGTTTTACTTACTTAGAAGCTGGTGCACTGCCACTGATAGAAGCTCCAGTATGGTTATGACCAGTTCCATTTGCAGCACAAGGGCTTTCTTGTAACACCTTGCTTGGTATTTCTTTCACTGTGATTGGCTGAGCTCCAGAAGGTCTAGGTGATAGCATTATGTTTATCCCTGCATTGCCAGAAAACTTCCCCATGCCCCACAGATTGTGGAGAATCAGACTCAAGCAGTATAAAACATCCATTTAACCTCATTAAAAGGAAAGGTTTTCACCTCAGGCTCCATTGTGTCAGCAAAACCTCTTTTGTTCCCTGAAACCACATTTTTCTGGGATGATAAGCAGATTCCATCTTTTGAAGGAAGCAAAGGGAACAAGGGTTTCTCGTCAAGTTTTGTTGAGCTCAATGAGAAAAGATCTGGATCCCTTTCAGGTGACTGGGATCCAGGAAGGCCCAGCCTCAACTCAGTAGCCTTCAAATTCAGGTTCTTCTTTTTCTCATCAGACAAGCTTGGGACAGTAGAACTGTCGACTGAAGAGCAATCTGACAATCCCAGGTAATTGCGTTCTTTCAGTCTAGCCTCATTTTGGGAGAAACAGTCCAAGGATTGTGAAGATGCAGATGCTACCATTGAGGCATTGCTCTGCCCTTCATCTTCAGTAACAAGCAGTGGTGGAGACATCAGAGTCCAAATATGCAAACTGTCTTACACAAACCAATATCATACCACAATTCACTCAACATTAATGCTGGAAAGAAATCTATACTATTAACAAGTTCAACAAAAGATAAAGACAAATTGAGTTCAACACTTCATTAAGAAAAGCATTGTCATCATTTTCATCTAACTAGAAACCAATGCTTCTTACAAACTTGAGGGGGAGGGATGAGTATGATTAATCAGGATTAATAAGGCGATCACCTGATTGCACATGAAATGATATAAATCTTGGATTCTTCATTTTCATAAGTGTATAGAATGCGAATTCACTCAACATATGACATTATCTTAATGTTTATGTACACCAAATTTCACACAAATTAAACATTAATTTGTATGTTATCTAATAAAAGACATAGACATCTACTTATAATGTAAGAAGTATATTATCCATTAAAATGAAGTTGATACTTGATAGATTAATAAAATAGCAAAAAATCTTTATTAAAGTTGTATGAAATTTTGTAAACTAACTGTACTTGATGAAAACTTTAAATCCAATGAAATTCAATGCTCACAAGTTATAAAACGGAGCAATTTTCACAGGACTTTCTCCTAGAGTAAATGGGTCACACCCAAGTCAGATTAAAACATAAAAGGCACGTGACTTTAAGTAGCCCATAATTTTGACCATTCATTCACCGCTAAGATTTGTTCTTATTACTCTCATATCAATCATGAAATTGCTGCAAAATGTGAAGAAAAAAGAGAGGGATTTCAAGACAAGGCAAAACACAAATAAAAAAAATCATGCATGAGTTAGTCATTGACGTTAAGCAGTTGGAAAATTAAACACAAAAACGCAAAAAAATAATTTCAGTAAAAAATGACAACAGTGATAATTGGCTAAATAACTCCCAAACCAACTGAAGAAACATCTTTACAAATACCCATCGAACCCTCATCACACCCATTACAGGACCTGCATCGAAAACGAAGAGGCCAAAAATTTTTTTATTTATTTCTTTCAGAAAAAATAAACTACTGAAGAAGCCAACTAAACGTAATTTTTCCTAACATTTTGAGTAGCATTTATAGCACTAGATTATGCAATAAATGAAAGAAAAATAAAAAATTGTACTCTAACCAACCATTTGGCTACGCTTAGTTATATTTTACTTTTCCTAAGACTCTTACTCGTATACATAAAAAAAAAATGGAACAAATTGCAAGGAAAAAGAGGGTATTGGTTAACAGATCCACACCAAAACTTGCAAAACAATTTCCTTTTTCTTCAGAAAAAGAAAAAGTTATAAAAAGCAGAGACGGCCACGGCCTGTAAGTGAACAGTTGAGAAATTAAAAATAAAAAATATTAAAAAGAACACAGAAAGCTTACATTTCATCTGGAAAACAGAAACACGCAGGAAATTCTTAATCCAGAAAATACAAAAATAAAATAAATAAATCGAATGAAGCAGTGACGAACCTATGGAAATGGAAGGTTTTTGCAGAGAGAACAGAAGAAGGGAGTGTGAGTGAAACCTAAACAGAAGAGACAGAAAAAGAAAAGAAAAGAAAAGCTCTCAAGGGCCTTCCATTAAGCACAAAGCAACAAAAGCTTTGGAGAGTGCATCCTGCACACACACACACACAAAAACTCAATAAATGTAGCCTTCTATTATGACACTGTTTAAAAATATTAAAGAAAATTTAAAATTATAAAGTAGACAGCGGCCAAAAAGCCAAACAGCTGCTGTCGCGAACACTTTATTAATTTATTATTAATGGAGTGTTTTTGTCAATTATCTTTTAAAAGCAAACCAGACTTACATCGTTTCACACACTTTTTTCCAAATTAACGATTCAACTTTAATTACACTCAAATTAAATGATAATAATTGAATATATAATTTTAATATTATATAAATTTATAAAAACAATAAATTTGATCAAAATTAATTAGTAAAAAAGATTATACTGAATATCTTATAAAATAAATATTTATTATAACTATTTAATCAATAATAATATATAGTGTCAAATATCGGTTCTTATTCATTTAATTTTTTTATAATTAAACTTTTTAAAAGTAAAAAATAACTCAAAAATGGGTATTTAGTTCAAATTCCTACTTAATTTTAATTGATATTGACTAATTCTTAATGGGTATTTTCTTGTACTAATTTTCTAAATTGTTTAAATTAGTTTCTTGATCAATTTTCACCACTCCAATAAAATATCACCACATTATTCCCACTTATCAGACTAAGGGATCATATAACCAAAATATAAATTAATAAGAAATAAAAATAAAAATAAAAATATATTATATTTATCGAACTTAATTTTTAATTTGTAGACAATAAAATTCAAGAAAATGAAAATATCAAACTCTTATGATTAGATTTCCAATTAATGGAAACAAAAGAAGCTAAAATTAAATACAAGCAATCTGTTAGTGGTTTATGGTAGCTCAATGACAAGCATTTGAGTAAATTCATACAACCTGACCTAAGACTACTTAATCGAACCTTTGGAAGAACAATTTGAGTATTTTGATTTATAGTAATTTAAAATTATTTTTGTTAGTTTATTATGAATTTTAGGTTAATTGGTAATATTTAAGACTTTCTTTTTAATCTATTTCCAGCTTATATTAGAACAACTTTTATTAATTAGGCCCATAGTGTGTTGTAGTAATCTTACACTATATAAGGTAGAAAAGCATTTATTTGAGGAGCTTAGTTATTATTTGAATAAGAATTTCTTTAAATTCTTCTTCTTAATAATCTCTACTGAAATTATGTTTATGGTCAGTTCCTTTTCTAAAAATTGGCAATTACAAAAATTTTAATGTATGCAATTTAGTCATGGATGGTCTCAAAATTGTGGGCTTTAAGAGTATCTCATCCTTTTAAGTTTTTGATGGTAAATATCTCATTGGAACAAAGTCTCCGGTAGATGTTGCAAAAATATAAAAGAAGATTTAATGTATTAAAATATTGTCCCCTAAAGGCTACATAGTAATTATTAGGATTATTAATCCTAAACTTTTTAAATGAATAAAGATGATGAATGGCTTAGAAATAATAAAAATGAAAGAAAAGAAACGAGAAACATGAAAAAATAATGAAAAATAAATCTAGAGTGATCAAATAATTGCAGCAAAAGAATATTTACTTACGAACTAACCTTACGCATTTGACTCCACTTATATTGTTTACTAAAATTTTTATCTAAATCTTTTTTATAATTTATTGATTGTCAATCATTTACTTTAAATATATTACTATCTGATTGTATAATGTTGATATTTTTTCTAAAATATCTAACTCCAATGATCATGAATGATATGACTACAAAAATATTAAAATTTAATAAATTTGTTAATTCAATTGCGATAGTTTAGGATTAAAATTGATTCTATCAGATACTAAATTTGATTTACTCTACAAATCCATTTTATTTTATTTTTTGTATTGGTTGGATCACTAATACGAAACTAACTTATATTGGAATAAGGTTGGTTAGGTCTTGATAGCAATTAAAAAAGTAAACTAATTGAAAAAGAAGCATATATTCATAAATAAAAATAAATAAATCAAAATTTGCAGCATAAGGTCTAAGCACACTGGGATTAGTTTACTAATGATAAATATCAAACTCAAAATAAAAGTTAATCTAATATAGTTCGTAACTAAAATAATATCAAAAGGATAAAATAAAAGAAAATTTCCGTGAAAGTGATAAAGTTGAAGCAAGCAATGGATCTTTTAGATAATATGTAACAACTCTTTGAAAATATTAAAAATAAATTTATAATATTTGTTTGACTCTTTACATTGTCAAAAGGAAGGAAGATTCAAGGAGAAAAAAAATTAGATCTTAGGTAGAAGATGGTACATATATTCAAGTGTGTATGATAGAGAAAGGGAGAAAGAGAAAAAAGTCTTGATTCTATATCAAGAGTTATAAATAACTTTATTTTCATAAATTATCACAATCTCATCAATAAGAATGTATTTTTAAGTATGCATGATTATTTATAGAACCTTAAATAAATGCTGATGGAACCTTACACGATCATGCATCATTAACAACAGTAAAACGTGCATATCTAACTACAACCTTATAAACTTTAGCCTTAAGTTGTGAATCATCAAGCATGATTGCACAACCTATCTAGGTCAAGTTGTGCATCTTTAAACAAAACTATGTATATGGTCATGCATATTTTGATGTAAAATTGTGCTTCTTCCACCATAAATGTGCATTTCTTTTAGACAGAGATGTTGTTGTGCTTAGTTTGATAAAGAAAATTTTATTTGCATCAATCATTTTAATGTGTATAGAAATACATCATTCCCATAAACATTTTCACTTAAAAAACAATAATTGGCATAGAATAAAAAAAATGAATCAATGAACATCTTTTCAAGGATTTTATGTAACATCCCTATTTTTATATTAAGTAAAATTGCATTGTTACGATAAATATGCATGTGAGAAAATGTTAGGAGAGTTTTGAAATGTTAGAACTGTAAGGTTCTAGTTATAGCAAGATAATTCTTGTAACAGCCTCATTTTGCTATTTATTATTACTATAGTTTATGTTAGTTGTTTGTGCATGTTATTTAAAATTAGAAGTATTTAATTGATGTGAACTGCAAGATCTCTCGCTATAGTGAGGACAAGTCATCCATAATCAGACTCTCTAGAGCTCTCTCATTATAGCGAGGATCTCTCGTTGTAACTAGAATGACAGACAATAAAAGAAGAAAACTTTCTAATTTTTTCGTTATAGCGAGAGTTGCTCGTTGTAGCAAGAAAGTCACGAGTTTGAGAGACATTTAAAGAACTTTCGTCCTAAAACCTTCATTTTCAATCTAATCATCTTTTTCTCTCCATCCTCTTTGTTCTCTTCCTCTCCCTTCTCAGAGAAAACCTCTAATAATTTTGGATCTTTCTCGGATTTGAGATCAAACGTACTTGAATCTAAGTAAGTTTCTGGAACTTATCCCATGAATCTCGTTCCTATTTCTCTTTTCTCTTTTTCATAACAGAAATCTACCTTGTGATAATAGGAAGAAATCTAGTCCTTGGGTAATATTTTTGGTCAAGACGTGGAGTTTCTCTTTAGAGCACTCTAAGAACTTAGTTTTTGAGATTCATTTCCAAGTAAGGGGAGTTACTCCTAAACCCTAGGTTCTACCTAAATATGTTTATAAATCTTTAGAGAAGAGGGTTATCTTATTTTGAAAAGTAAATCCATAAAGTTTTCTTAAAACTAAATAAGTTTGAAATGAATTTTTGGTATAAAAAAAAGTTTTTGATTCGTTTAAAATCACTTGAGACGTAGTTTATCATAAATTGTCATTAGTAAGAATAAGTTAAACAATTTTATGGATAAGTTACTATTTTTTTTATAATGTATGTGTTAAATAGTGAAAAGGTGAAATATGTTGCACTTTAGGCTAGAAGATTCAATTAAGATCGAGAGAAAGTGATCTCCGACAATATATTCTAGATTGCACGATTTGGACTGAGGCCGAAGGTGTCCGAGCCTCAGCATATTTTATCGAATTGTATGATGATATGTGTCTGCCTTGTAATTATATACGTAATTGAGAAGTTTGTTATTGTGTGAGAGATATACAAGGTATCGTATCCTATACGTGTTAGTTGGGTTAAGTTTGAATAAGTATGAACATTTGAGAATCTCTGAGGAAATATACAATTAATTATGAGAGAAAGGGGAATTGTGAAAATTGAAAGGTGATGAATATGTGTGGAGAGAAGAGAAAAGGAAAGAAGGAAAAACAAAAAGTCATTTTTTTATAATGTTTTAGCTTTTATAAAAAAAAAAAAATTTAAAATTGGATCAATGGATCGATTTTTCAATCAGTCATTCATTGAATGATAAATCACTACAAGTGACAGAGATACGCGATTTAAATAACGAAAAATCTAATATTTAAAAATGGTATCTAAAATGACTGGAAAAGTGGAAACAAGACCATATATAATTTGATCATTCTGAACAAATCCAAAATCTTTATAGACAGAAACAATCATTAGTTCCCAACCATGGGTCGAATGGTGTGTTACAAATACACCGATTAGTGTCATTATGATAGATGCGTTGTAATACACCGACAAGTGAGATTATAACACGTGTTTTAGTGCACCGATTAGTGTGTTTATATCATATGTATTAGAATGGTATAACTTGATGTCCCACTGTATGGATAGTTTAGGGATACACTTGGGATATAGGATTCAGAGTTGATTATGGAAATATGGTGAAAATGATAAGGGTAAATACGGTTCACTGATGTGTACACGATGTAAAAATGAGATGCATTTATCGGCCTCACACTCATTTCTTGACTGATTTCTAAACTATACCTTTGCTTGGAAGGCTGTAAATGTACACATTGTATTTATGTGTGATTTAGCTGACCATCGACTATCCATGTTGCGTAAATCCTTCGTAACGAAAGAGAGTGCATTGATAGCAATTTAGGGACCCGAAGGTACCTAGAGTACTGTTAATTGATGAGATGTTCAGACTTGAGATGGATAAAGTGGCACAAAGATATAGATTGGATAATGATATTTGGTTAAATGTGGAGTAATATTTATGAATAACTTTTGTTAATTAAAATTGTATGA